GTTTTGAAAAATAGCTGATTTTTTTTTTTTTTCTTTAAGACTCTATAGCAGCAGGAGGATTCTAGAGAGGGCATCTAGGCAAGGGACAGAGGAGGATGGTGAGCACGTTATGCCCCTTTCCCCTGGTTTCTTCATGTCTAACATGACAGCTAGAGCTCCTGAGGTCTCTCCTAAATCTGAATGTTTATGATGATTTATGATGTTATACGAGCTCAAAAATGGAAGACATGAAGCAAAGTTTGGACACTTTTACATTCCAATTAACTAACAGCAAACTATCTTCTGTCTTGATCTGATGATGAGAAACAGAGATACTCTGACTTCTGAGTATCTTTAGTATGTGTAATTAATACTAAAATAAAAGATAAAAGTCAGGTGTGCTATTTTTTACCACTAAGCACATCTAATGATCGTATAATGTAAATAGCTAATGATCCTGTGATGAGTAGTTTACAGTGATCTAATGAAGTAGATGAAGAAAAACACAAACAAACAAATAAAAACCTTGAAGCTTATAAGGGGAAAATACCTGATAGAAGATCAGGAGGTAGATGAGCTGCTTTCAACTCATGCCATTACATGTTCTAATTAAACATAAATTAACACATGTCCCAGGATGAGGATAACAACACTTCTTATCTATCAGTCCTGATATGTTACTATGTGGGAAAACATTCCTAAAGTAGTCCTTATTATAAGACAGGTTTCATGTGTAATTGAGGTATCATTAGTTTTATAGAAGTAAGCACCAAATGGCTCCTATTTTTCATTCCATTTCCTTGTTTATCTCTGTGCATAAAACTTGGCCATCTTTTTTGTTCATTTTAAATTCACCAATTTTCTATTTAATTTGTGAGTGTAAGACTGGAGAGGCCTAGGACTGTAGATTTTCCTGGAAAAGAACTACAGTCTAGTGTCTTCTGCTGAGAGCATGGCCAAATCGTCAGAGATCCTGCTGGATTTAAATGCTAGACCCAGTAATTATCTTTTCTCCGTTCTTCTGGATAGGGGTAGCTATATGTGGACTCAGAGAAGCCCAGAATACACATATTGTCCCCTGAACCATCTGCACCTCTCTCCCCCACAACTCACAACATTGTAATGATCGAAATCCTACAATTAGAATTTTATTATTTGACTTCATTTAACATTAAAATGAACAGTAGTTATTTCATATTATCTAAAATTTACCTACTACCATACTGTGAAGATGACTTACTCAGTTTCTACCTGTCAGCCAGAATGGAGATGAGTGAGGGGTAGTATTCACAGAGGAATATTTGTACCATTTACTTACTCAAAATTTTTCTAAGCACCTGTTAGTTTTATTATTTTGTTTGTTTGTTCATTACTGTTGTTTTAATTTTGCCAGAGGGTATATGCACTTGCTGGAGAGAGACACAGAAGGTGTGCGAGAGAGAGAGGGAAAGTGAGACAGCACCCTCCATGGGGAACGGTCATGCTGCAGTCCTTTCTCCATTCTCCCTCCTTTTGTATGCACCACATACATTCAGTGTGTCACTGTGTTTCTCAAGCTCTGTAGTCAGTTACTCCTAGCCATATGGAATCCAGCTGCCTTAACCACCCAGAGCCTCTTTTCTTTCTTTTTCTTTTCCTTTTTCTTATTTTTCTTTTCCTTTCTCTTTCACTCTCTCTTTCTTTTCTTTTCTTTTCTTTTCTTTTCTTTTCTTTTCTTTTCTTTTCTTTTCTTTTCTTTTCTTTTCTTTTCTTTTCTTTTCTTTTCCTTTGATTTCTTTTTTCTCTTCTTCCTCTTCCTCCTCCTCCTCTTCTTCTCTCTCTCTCCCCCTTTCTTTCTTTTCTTTATATCAGACTGAAATAGGCACACCAGAAACAATTAGGTAGTTTAAATTGAAAATGTGCACACCTCATTCGATGTAATTAAGGATCATTTGTTGAATTTTGAACATTTATCACCCTTGAAGACAAGTCAAATTTATAGGACACCTTGCATTTAAGGAAAACTTGATGTAAAATAACCTCCCTTCCCCCATTGGATTTTATTGCACGGATTCAGAGAGGGTATTAGTTCTATAGGACAGACTACCAGATTTTCTTTTCTCAAGTTTATTTATTTGTATCTTCCACAGAAAGGGGGGGGGTGGCAGAGACCCCCAATGGTGTTTCACACCATGATCCACTGCCAGCCATAACCAGCTTAGATCATCAGCACCTGCAAACATGTCTAGTGTGCTCAGAGAGGTTCTGGAGTGTGAACCCAGGGCTTTTCTCATGCAGGTGCAGTCACATTACCATGGCACCACTGCTTGACCCCCAAATTACTTTTGATAGATAGTAAAAGCTCTTTGAAAGGGCTGTGCAAATTATCCCGATGGGATCCTGTATAGCTAATAAAAATTCATAAACGCAGGAACTAGCAGTTGGCATAATGACTATGTTGCTGGGCTCCCATGTAGTTGACCACGGTTCGAATCCTGGGCCTGGTGGCTTAAACTCACACTGGGGGCGTGTGCGTGCTTGCCCAAGATCCTGAGAGGAGAATGCAGGAGAAGGGATTGAGGAGTAGCTATCCCCCCTTCGGGGAGGGGATTTCTCACTTTCTGTCTCTTTGTCTTTCTCTCTTTCTTTTCTTTTTTTTTTGGAAAGGTTCTTACTATAGGGCGCGTGCACTCACCAGACAGAGAGAGACAGAGAGACAGAAAGCGAGAAATCACCCCCCAGGGGGGATGGCCACGCCGCAATCCCTTCTCCTCCATTCTCCTCTCAGGATCTTGGGCACGCACGCACACGCGCCTGGCGTGAGTTTAAGCCACCAGGTCCGGGATTTGAACCACCGTCGAATACGTGGAAGTCCAGCGACATAGCCATTATGCCAACTGCTGGTCCCTCTCTCTGTCTTTCTGGCAAGTGCGTGCACCCTATTAGCAACAACCTCTTAAAAAATTCATAAATACATTCATTGTCCAAGTATCATTATCATATCCACTGTTTTGAAGGACTCATTTTTTCACCACAAATATTGGTTAAACACCTATCACACTCAGGACACCCAGGGAAGCACCCTGAGGATTACAAAGCCTTGGTCACAGCTGAGGCCATTTGTCACAATACTGGGCTGTGTAGCTGATTCTGTCTGCTTCATGCTTAGAGTAATTAAAAGGAAGAAAAGCACAGAACCCACGTTCCAGATGTTGTCTTCTTATGGTATGCTCAGGACGCCCTAGTAAATTCAGTTTACATTTGAAGTCCGGGTACTTCAAACCAAACGGGTTCAATACAAATTCATAGGCATTGTACTAGGGGATGGGGAAACAAAGACACAAAACAGCCAACACTTTTGTATGGGACACAGACACATGCATAACTAATTATGATATAACATGAAAAGGGCTTATAATAGTAGTGAAATCAAAGAGCTTTGGGAAAACAGGAGGGAGTGATTAATTATGTAGGGGCTTTGTGGAAAGGGCTGAAATGGTAGCAAAGAGGAGGTGACATTTGGTTTGAGTATATTAAGCTATAATTTCAACAGGAGGAGAAAAGGGGAAATCCAGATTAACTATAATTCTAGTTAAATACATTATTCTAGCCAGTAAACTGACAACATTTTTATAAAATAGAGAATTAAAAAAAAAAAACCTTAAACCCGATGTGCAAAATCCTAATGACATTGAATATAAAGCACTTAAACGTTGCTGTAGGTAGAAATAGCCTGAGGACTTAAGTTTCTCATAGCCAAAGAATAAAATTATGGTGTTGGCTGGAGGTTGGACAGATCACTATGGAGATGGGGCAGTATCAGACACAGAAAGGAATCTTGGTCAGTGATGGAAACGTGAGTCTTTCCTTGGGAGGCTCTCCCACCAGCCATCTGTAACTTACAATGGCCAGGTTACTTCTGTGGGCCCTGCTGCACGTGAAGAATTAAATGAAGAAGACTCCTCCATCTCTTCCAGTTTTCCATTATTGCCACTGTTTGCTCACCATACTCAAACCTAGACACGTCTTATCATTTGCTAAGGGAGCTCTGGGACTTTACGCTTTGTTCTCCCAGATCAAACTGACAGATGCAGGACCCATGGGTGCTGCTTTTCCACAGTTTTACGCCCAGGACAGTTTTATGTTGAGGTCTGAGGGTGAGTTTACTTGCTATACACACAGTAGGATTTGCCATGCAACTACCCAGGCCTAACCTTCAAGACTCAACAATCACACAGGCTCTTTCTATGTCCCTAAGGACAACCCTAAGGGTTTACATTGTGACGTTTTCACAAAGTCTATACAAGTTATTTCTGCATTATTCTTTTTAGAGAAGAGCCTTTTCCAAACTATATTAAGTTCCAGGGTCAACCAAACATTGATCTACTCCTTGTCCTCATATACTTCTAAGTTTTCTATTGGGTAATAAAGGTGTGCAGAAATCTACAAAAGAAGCTTCTGAACATGGGAATAGGTGGTGCACCCCTGTGGGCCTGGTACCAGGGAGAGGGCAAAGCCTTACATTTTGTTCAGTTTCTCTGCCTTTTCCTTTCCGGGTTCCAGCCTCTCAGTGGAGGGCTGATTCTTGCTCTTCACCCGCAAGCCTGCTCTTCCTAGGCCACTAACTGTGAACTAGAGTTTTACATAGTGGAACACAGACTCTCTATTTAAGGGTTAGAATTCTTAGGACAGTATTTTTGGTCAATCATTCCCCTTGTTTCTTCCACAGTAGATTCTCAAGAGATTTTACGCTGTAGAAAAGGGATCAAACAGGTCCCTAAATCACCCAGGTGCAGGTCCAGACATCAGAGGTTGCTTTATAGAGGGGGTGCCCTGTGCGGGAAAACATCCCTCAGCACGTTGGCGGCGGAAGCTACCTCCAACCCCAGGCGGCCGCTGACAGCTTGCGCACAGACAAGGATGGACTTATGAATGCTCCGGAGGATTGGCGCGCGCCAAGGGAGGGGGGGGCGGGGACGGGGGAGGAGATCGGAAGGGGAGAGGTAATCCCCAGCGTTTCCACCATCCCCGTTTTAGAAAGACTGAGTCTCTCCCAGGACAGCTGCTGCGGTCACACCACAAACTTAAAAGCCGCCCTCCCGCTTGGAGCGTGCCTTTCCTCGCCGCCCTCGCCTCTCCAATCTCCAGCTGGTGCCTCGCTCTCCGCCCGGCCGGGTCCGGCGCTCAGGGGCAGCAGCGCCCCCTGCCTCCCGGCCTGACCTCTGCGGCCGCAGTCTCCGCGCTCTGCCAGGGCCGCCGGCGGCTCCGCGGCTCAGCCAGCGCGGAGGCTCAGAGAACTGCCGGTGCCCCGGGTCTCCGCCGCGCTCGCCCTCGCCCTCAGCCTGCGCCCCCTGCCTCTCCCTGAACCCGCAGCGGGAAACGGAAGAGGGCAAGAAGAGTTCTCAGCAGGTAAGCCTGGTTTCGGGTCACCTGCTACTTCAGTGGGAAGGTGCATTGGAGATCTCGGTGTTAAAAAGGGATGATCGGATTTGGGGGGGGGGATTGTGGTTCGAAGTGAGGATTTGGGGTGGCAGGGAGATAAGGAACCGTCAAGAGACGGAGAAAGAGCTCTGGAGCGGAAAAGGAGAGGCAAGCTGCAGAACTGACCAGAAATCGGAGCGCTGGGAGCGGACTGCCAGTTAGCGCGGCGCCGGCGACGGCGCGGCCACAGGGGCGCTGTCCCACTCCGCCTCAGCCAGTGACAGAAACGACTTATCCCGAGATTCGCCTGCCAGCGCCACACAAAGTTTTCCTCCCGAGACGCCTCCGGGAACTTTGCTCTTCTCCCGACCCGCTCCCTCGCTCCCCCGCCTCCTCCCCGGCCGAGGCAGCCCAGAGCGCTCCTGAAAGTGCCGGGTGGCTTCCGCCGGCAGCAGGTTCATTGGAGACGCATTAGTGGGGACCGGGCCCGGAGGGCTACACCGCAGGGCGTGTGCGCCGTCCTCCCGGCTTTTCCCGCTGGGCTGGGGGAAGGAGAGAGCGAGCGTGGCGGTGGTTTTTGTTGTGGCGCTTTGGGGGACGGACGGGCGACGTGTTTTTCCTTCCGAGGGAATCGCGACGTGCGGTCTTGGGGGGGAGTGTGCATCCTTCTGGACCCAGAGGGGGAAAGTCGGAGTCTGGCACCGGCCACCACGCGGGTCACTAGTGCCTGCGGTCGCGGGAAACGCCGTCCTAGCCCCCGGCGTGGCTCGCCCTGCGAAGGCCGCGTTTCGGCTCCTGCCGGGCATTTAATCCGCAGCTCGGCCTCGCAGCGTCCTCCTTCCGCGCCGGGGTGGCCGCGGTCATGCGCTGCCCTGGTGGCGCACCGGCTGCCTTGGCACTCTCCGGGTGTCCCTCCCTGGTGACTTGTGCTCAGCCGCGTGGGCTGAGGAGATTTGCTTCCGTCCCAGAACGAGGACCGGACCTGACAGGAGGAGGAGACGCCGCGCTCTCGCGGGGCCATCGGGACCGAAGCAGTGCGCCCCGCCGCGGGGGCCGCGGTCGTCCCGGATTCCGGGTTAGGTGGATCTGAGTTTAAAAAGCAAACTTTTTTTTTTTTTTTTTTTACATTTAGCCTGGACAGAAGCCGTAATAGAAGACACGTATCCCTACGTGGACTGTCCTTTCTCCACCCCAATCCCTTTCTATCCCCACTGAGCACACGCGGAAAACGAGGGGGGAGGAATTGAAGTCCCAAGTTAGGCTGGAGAAGTGTTCTCCTGAATGTGTGCGCCAGTGTGTTGGGGTTGGGGGGACGAAAAGAGGGAGAGGAGGATTCTCTAATTCGGAGGGAAGGATTGAAGCACAGATAGAAGAGGAGAGACCCTTCCCGGGTCTGCTGCCGCCGCTGTTGTGTAACCATGGCAACCGCGAGGGCAAGGGCGGTCAGCGCCTTCTTGATTCTGCACGTGGAAAGAAAAATGTGAAGGGTGGGGATGGGAGAGCGCCACATGTCATCACTCTAGTGATGCCTTGGCTTCGCCCTCTCCTTCTCGGAGGCCAGATTGCAAGGAGGATGAGCAGGAAAGGTTCTGGATGGGAATAAACAACCCCAGCCTGCAGCGGCTTTAACCCACTCCAGTACCGGAGTCGCCGAGGCCCGCCCAGCAGCTAAGGCGGGCCAGAGAAGTTATCGCTGACAGGCTACAAAGTGACAGCCCAGGTCAGGGAGATGGGAAAAGACCATGGCCCTTGGAAGGGAAAGGCCAGGAAATACAGGAAGATGATGTGGGGAGAGATAAGGACAGGGTCAAGAGGAGGCTGAGGGACAATAAAATGGTAGTGATTTAGACTGCCAACATTTCAAGTGGAATTTGCCCGTTTATGAAATGGAAAATGGGTGGAGACCGGAAGGGACATTTATCCATCACCTATTGTGTCCCAGGTGCTTGGTACATGATCACAGCTAATGTTCCCAACAATATCGTGCAAATGTCATTTCCTTCTTTTTCTCCTTCTCCTCTTCCTTTTCCACCTCTTCCTCCTCCTCCTTCTTTAGATGAAAAAAAAGCAGAGAAGCAGAGACACAGAAATGGGTCTTGTCCCATTTTACCTTTTATGTTTTGAACAAAGAATCATACTTCTTGAAAATCATATTGGTAGTTATCAGAGAGGAATAAATAGTTCTCCTCATTTTAGGAATGACAACAATGAGTTGGGAAGGTGTTGCTTGGTATGTCCAAATATAAGTCAGTAAGAGGAAGAGCTGAGACAGGAGTCATTTTACCTGGTTGTGGACCCCTTTTACAGGACTTCAGACAACTTGCCATGGCCCTGCTTAAAGGAAGGACATGTCTAAGTTCTGGTACTGTGTCTGTCATCACTCCTATATGAAGAGCGCACAACAATTCAAATGAAATCCTTGTTTGAGGATGGATATTGACCCCGTCAGGACTACGAGCCTAGAGTTATATGTATATGTAATTCTCTATGTTTCTATAGGTTTTCTTGTACCTTGTAGGAGTTATTACTGGTTTTAATAAGGGTTTAAAGGAGAAACAAATCTTAAAAAAAGAAAAAAGAAGCAACCTCCCAAACAGCTGTATTGAGAAAATTTCCTTAGATTAATCAGGTTTTCCTAGGTCTACTTAATCTCCTCATGACCTGAATACTTAAAAACTTATTTCATATTTTGGCACCACTTGTTCACCTTTATAAGAATCTGTTGCCCATTAGGAAGAGTAAAAATTTGACTCAGGTTACCTCCCTGCTGACTCTGAGAGGAGAGGTTAAAGAAAAATGTTTGGCAGTGCAAAATGTTTTGAAATGATCAGGAAACTACAATCAACAGGAGCAGAAACTAAGAATAAAAGGTATAGAAATAACTCTTGTGACTTTTCCTCTGCTTTCCACTGGAATTGCTTCAATAGGTAAGCCTTACCTAATGAGTTTGCTTTGTATTTTACAGGAGAGAAAATACACAAAGAACAACTGAATTTTTAATCTTGTTTTTAGGCAGGGGAAGGTCTGGTAAGTGAGAGAGTGGGAATCATTTTTGGTGGCAGGGAAGATCAGGAATATAAACAACTATAAAAGCAGAGGAAGCACATCTTCTGCTGTTTCCGACAGGCTAACAGATTCGATTATCACTTTGAACTTGAGTCACAGAGTTAAATGACTCTCCCACATTTTCTGGTATTTCCCCAAAAGTAGAAAGGATGTTGTTTGGGATTGGAGATAAATTAATATAGGAAGTTTCATGGTGCCCAGTTCTTATACTGTACTCTTATTCCATTGCATGGACCTTTGTTAACTGTCAAAAAGATTATCATAAACTGGAAGATATCTGTGAAGATATGTTCTAGAATTGACAACCATACTGTATCCAGTGTTTGTTTACTGCTTGGATAGAGTTACTGGCCTAAGTTAACATCATTTTTATTATGTGTATTAAGTATCAACTATATAACCTCAAGGGGAAATATTCTAAAATTTGGGTTAGTTTAGTAACTATTAAAATGTCTTCAGATTAGGCACCTGCAGTTCGAACCCCAGACCTGGCAGCTTAAAACTCATGCCAGGTGTGTGTGGGTGTGTGCCCAAAATCCCAAAAGGAGAATGGAGGAGAAAGAATTGTGATGTGGCCATCCCCACTGGACAATGGCTTCTCATTTTCTGTCGCTATGTCTCTCTGGCAAGCACATGCTCCCTATAGCAAAAATCTCTCTCTCTAAAAAGAGAGAGAGAGAGAGAGAGAGAGAGAAATGTCTTCAGTTTGTTTGCTATAGTTTTATTATTTTGGTAAAAGAGATATTGATACTGAGCTTTTGTTGATCCGTCTGGAAGGCTGGCTGCTTTGATGATACGTTTCTTGAGAAGCATCATTGTCAATTAATACGTAATTGTGTTTAATAAGTAAGAGTAATCATAGGCCTGTTTGAAAAGTCTTATTCTTACTGTAAACACTTGTATCTATATAGAGTATCCAAGTAAATATTTTAATTACTCAGTAATGTAATCCTTGAAAGGAAAAAAGAATTATTCACATTTGTGGAATAAATAGTAATGATGACACCAATGACTGAATATGAGCAATACTTGTTGATCATATTCTTTCCCACCTCAAAATGTGGTTTTAAAAAATTCCCTTCTTCCAGGAAACCTTGGCCCAAATCCCTCTTTATTTTATCAAAACTAATAGTCCAAGTCTCCAGCTATTAATTTTCTATTTTTTTTTGTTGTTTATGATCCTTGACTAGATTATAAGATCTTTAAGGCCTCAATCTGGCACCTAGATACTATTGAAATATAATTAAGTACAAGGGACTTCGAAAAATTCATAGAAAAATAGTCAGGGTCTATTTTGGTGCCAAACACACACACACACACACACACACACACACACACTCACACCAACTTTGAAATTCATGCATAGTTTTTTTTTCCAATACACATTTTTCCATCAAATTTTTCAAGACATTTTTGTATTTAAACAGCTAATGATGTTGAATCTCTTTATTGTCTGTAAAAATCAGCATATAAGCTTTTGGCTTTATACTTTCTCTGAGTTTTAACAAGGAAAGTATTATATCTGAATTTTACTCTCTATTTAAAAAAAAATGTTTGCATGTCAGATCAACCCATGGCCTAGTAATTAAGATGGCTTGATCCCACATGGCTTACCACAGGGGTCAAGTCGTGAACCTGGTGGCTTGAGAAACACAGCAGGTGCATGTGTGAGCATGCCCAAAATCCTGAAAGGAGGGAGTTATGGAGGAGAAGGGACTCCAGTGTTACCATAACCCATGAAAGGGGTGCTTTCTCACCTTCGAGAAAATTTCCTTAGATTAATCAGGTTTTCCTAGGTCTACTTAATCTCCTCATGACCTGAATACTTAAAAACTTATTTCATATTTTGGCACCACTTGTTCACCTTTATAAGAATCTGTTGCCCATTAGGAAGAGTAAAAATTTGACTCAGGTTACCTCCC